CGGCGTCCGCGAGGAACGCGGCGAGAGGGGCCGCGAGCCCGTCCATGGCCATCTTAAGGAGTCCGTCCTCCCCGGGCGGCACGTCGGCGGTGGACTCGGCGCCCTCCGGCAGCCCGTCGACGCGCGGCAGCGGCAGCGGCACGAAGCGGAGGCGACCTGACAGGTGCGGCGGCACGGGCGGGAGCCTGGCGAGGTTCCGCGGCGTGGAGACGAAGGCGACAGCGTGGCCGCGGGCGGCGAGGCGCCTGGAGAGGTCGAGGAACGGGAGCATGTGCCCGAACGCCAGCCACGGGAACATCACCACCTCCAGCTGCCCGCCGGCTTCCTCCATATGGACGTGAGCTGAGCTGAGCCGATCGGCAATGGAGGCTGGAGAAGAAGCAAATTAATCAAGGTGGTTGACTCTCTTCTGGTGGAGCAGCCTGAGAATGGTGATATGCGACGATCGATCCGACCGCGTGTGTATATATAATTCTACTCCGCAGAGGCGAGCTGGCGCTTCTCGTGGCGTGGCTGATATTTTAAGCTTTGAGATTGGTACGGATGTAAGCATCATTTGTGATTTGCTACCGCTAACGACCAATTGAAAGTGAGGATAATGGTCTAGCCGAATATATATACTTGGGATAATGACAACTTAGCCAAATCAGGATCATGACCTGGCCGATCAAAGTCAGAAGAGTAGAATATATAGTTTATCTTGGGATAATGTGATTAAGGAGCCAGAAGTCATCGCCGACACAAAACTTTCAGAGAACGTGGTAGCAATTTCTCACTCAAACATCCCTTTCTGGACTTGCATCGATTGATTACTATGCATTTTGGTAACGTCTCAGGTGCTCCACAAGATGGTCAATGTGTACCGCTACCTGTCGCGCCCTGTCTTCGAGAACCTCTCACACATGAACATGAATTGAACGAACACTACAACATGGTACTTGTACTAAAGTTAGTATAAAGTTGAGTCATCTATTTTGGAACGGAGGGAGTAGAAATTTGGAGGCACTAAAAATACGCCTTTAAAAGGTCGCCCCCAAATATGTAACGAGGTGACTGAAGAAAACACTAGAGTCAATCACGAAGGCAAAGGTCTAACATAGGCATTATGCAAAAACGCCTCCGATGCTCAGGCCTTTGAGGGCGATTTCGACGTCTCCATGCTCAAATCGAGGCATTTTCAGAAATGCCGACAAACCGCTGTGCACCGGCTGCTTAAAAAGTAGGATCCGGCTTGCCTGCTCCTTTCACATGCTCCCATCCGTGCTTCCACTTCATCCTACGGCTGTCCTTTTCTCTTTTCTCTTTCTAATCTAATCATTCCCCCCCTGATTTTAAGAGATGGGGCCGGAGCACGTTGGGAGAGTAGGCAAGTCTTGTTCGCTTAAAAAAGGCCTATCGACTATGCTGGATCTACAAAACAGGACCTCTAACTCTTGTTCCATTAGCGGTATGGGACTAAAATGTTTCAAGTCTGACCAACCTCCCGTGAGCAAAAGCTAAATCTGAGATAATTAACATGTATTGCATGATTCGAACACAGCCCTGGCTGTGTATAACTTTGCACTCATACCACTACAATAAGCAAAGCATTTAGATTAAGTTACAAACCAACCATTTGTTAATCCAGACGAGCAGGCCTTCCGATCAAAAATCATCACGCAACTCATCTCCGATATGCCAATAATCTCGTCAACAACGGATTGAACGACGACGGCCAAGAACGAAATACTCATGCGGCTTTGAACACTGAAGGTCCCGTAACAGCAGCACTGCCACCCGCATCAGCCGCAATATGTGGCCAGTTTGCCGCCGCCGGACCTGCCGCGCTGCATCAATCTAAGAGCATTTTCCTAAGACGCCTGTCGGTGTCAAAACCGGCGGATCTCGGGTAGGGGGTTCCGAACTGTGCGTCTAGGCCGGATGATAACAGGAGGCAGGGGACACGATGTTTTAGCCAGATTCGGGTCCTCTTGATGAAGGTAAAACCCTACGTCCTGCTTGATTAATATTGATGATATGGGTAGTACAAGAGTAGATCTACCACGAGATCAGAGAGGCTAAACCCTAGAAGCTAGCCTATGGTATGATTGTTGTTCGTCCTATGGACTAAAACCCTCCGGTTTATATAGACACTAGAGAGGGCTATGGTTACACAGAGTCGGTTACAATGGTAGGAGATCTACATATCCATATCACCAAGCTTGCCTTCCACGCCAAGGAAAGTCCCTTCCGGACACGGGACGAAGTGTTCAATCTTGTATCTTCATAATCCAGGAGTCCGGCCGAACGCCTCCGGCCAGCGGCGACGGCGTCCGTGAGGAACGCGGCGAGAGGGGCCGCGAGCCCGTCCATGGCCATCTTAAGGAACCCGTCCTCCCCGGGCGGCACGTCGGCGGTGGACTCGGCGCCCTCCGGCAGCCTGTCGACGCGCGGCAGCGGCAGCGGCACGAAGCGGAGGCGACCTGACAGGTGCGGCGGCACGGGCGGGAGCCTGGCGAGGTTCCGCGGCGTGGAGACGAAGGCGACGGCGTGGCCGCGGGCGGCGAGGCGCCTGGAGAGGTCGAGGAACGGGAGCATGTGCCCGAATGCCAGCCACGGGAACATCACCACCTCCAGCTGCCCGCCGGCTTCCTCCATATGGACGTGAGCTGAGCTGAGCCGATCGGCAATGGAGGCTGGAGAAGAAGCAAATTAATCAAGGTGGTTGACTCTCTTCTGATGGAGCAGCCTGAGAATGGTGATATGCGACGATCGATCCGACCGCGTGTGTATATATAATTCTACTCCGCAGAGGCGAGCTGGCGCTTCTCGTGGCGTGGCTGATATTTTAAGCTTTGAGATTGGTACGGATGTAAGCATCATTTGTGATTTGCTACCGCTAACGACCAATTGAAAGTGAGGATAATGGCCTGGCCGAATATATATACTTGGGATAATGACAACTTAGCCAAATCAGGATCATGACCTGGCCGATCAAAGTCAGAAGAGTAGAATGTATAGTTTATCTTGGGATAATGTGATTAAGGAGCCAGAAGTCATCGCCGACACAAAACTTTCAGAGAACGTGGTAGCAATTTCTCACTCAAACATCCCTTTCTGGACTTGCATCGATTGATTACTATGCATTTTGGTAACGTCTCAGGTGCTCCACAAGATGGTCAATGTGTACCGCTACCTGTCGCGCCCTGTCTTCGAGAACCTCTCACGCATGAACATGAATTGAACGAACACTACAACATGGTACTTGTACTAAAGTTAGTATAAAGTTGAGTCATCTATTTTGGAACGGAGGGAGTAGAAATTTGGAGGCACTAAAAAAACGCCTTTAAAAGGTCGCCCCCAAATATGTAACGAGGTGACTGAAGAAAACACTAGAGTCAATCACGAAGGCAAAGGTCTAACATAGGCATTATGCAAAAACGCCTCCGATGCTCAGGCCTTTGAGGGCGATTTCGACGTCTCCATGCTCAAATCGAGGCATTTTCAGAAATGCCGACAAACCGCTGTGCACCGGCTGCTTAAAAAGTAGGATCCGGCTTGCCTGCTCCCTTCACATGCTCCCATCCGTGCTTCCACTTCATCCTACGGCTGTCCTTTTCTCTTTTCTCTTTCTAATCTAATCATTTCCCCCCTGATTTTAAGAGATGGGGCCGGAGCACGTTGGGAGAGTAGGCAAGTCTCGTTCGCTTAAAAAAGGCCTATCGACTATGCTGGATCTACAAAATAGGACCTCTAACTCTTGTTCCATTAGCGGTATGGGACTAAAATGTTTCAAGTCTGACCAACCTCCCGTGAGCAAAAGCTAAATCTAAAATAATTAACATGTATTGCATGATTCGAACACAGCCCTGGCTGTGTATAACTTTGCACTCATACCACTACAATAAGCAAAGCATTTAGATTAAGTTACAAACCAACCATTTGTTAATCCAGACGAGCAGGCCTTCCGATCAAAAATCATCACGCAACTCATCTCCGATATGCCAATAATCTCGTCAGCAGCGGATTGAACGAGGACGGCCAAGAACGAAATACTCATGCGGCTTTGAACCCTGAAGGTCTCGTAACAGCAGCACTGCTACCCGCATCAGACGCAATATGTGGCCAGTTTGCCGCCGCCGGACCTGCCGCGCTGCATCAATCTAAGAGCATTTTCCTAAGACGCCTGTCGGTGTCAAAACCGGCGGATCTCGGGTAGGGGGTTCCGAACTGTGCGTCTAGGCCGGATGATCACAGGAGGCAGGGGACACGATGTTTTAGTCAGGTTCGGGCCCTCTTGATGGAGGTAAAACCCTAAGTTCTGCTTGATTAATATTGATGATATGGGTAGTACAAGAGTAGATCTACCACGAGATCAGAGAGGCTAAACCCTAGATCTAGCCTATGGTATGATTGTTGTTCGTCCTA